ACAATAATGCATTGACCGCTCGTGAAGAATATAGGTTAGTCTAATTTTTTACTTTATATTTAAACAAAAATTAAAAAAAATAATTCGCGCATAAACAATGTAATAATTACATTTATGTGAATTTTGTTAATAGATATAAGGAACTAGAGAAAAAGAAATGTTTACTGCCTTTAGATGAGTTAGACACTGCAATTGCTTCTCTTCAAGATGAATTCGAAGGGTTGTGTCTACCGGGAGACCAGGATGCATTGGAAGATATGAAATTAGACATAAGTATGCACAATGATAAACTAGACATGTTGATGAGACATGAGGAAATAGTGAATGATTTAGTTAAACAGAACCAGTAAGTATATTTTCATTTACTATTTTTAATAATGTAATAAAACAGAATATACTCTTTGTGTTATTTTAAAATGAATAGCCATCTCTTAGGTTGGAAAGGCTCTTCTAGTCTTTTTGAGTTTGGAATGGCAGTTTCAAACTACTCAACAAAATATCTATTCGAACTATTGTTTGCTGCAACTATTGCTTTACCCCATTGTCCGCTACTCTGTCCTCATATGAAACTAGTTAAAAAATTATCATATATAGCAATAATATATATAAAAATTCCAGTTCAATCAAAGATGAATTAGATATAGAGCTAACAAAATTAAGTGCTAAACAACATCAGTATGAAGATGATGAAAAAAACTTGGGTGAACAATGCATTGCTCTTGCCGAGGAAGTGGATAATATTGTTGATGATGTGTGTAATGTTATAGCTAAGAATTTGAAAATGGCCAGTACTAATGATGAGGTAATTTTCTTATTTAACTAGCTATCGCACACAACTCCATCTGCGCAAAAAAAACATAATTAGTAGACTGTGTGTTCTTCCAGGCTATGATCTATATGTATGCCAAATTTCATTAATATCCCTTCAGCGGTTTTGGAGATACCTTTAAACAAACATCCATCCATCCATCCATGCTCTCTAAACACTCATATATATAATATTAGTAAGAAGTAAGATATAATACATAAAAATTTTAATATACCAGTATCTATTTGTTAAGAGTGTCGGTGGCTCAGGGGTTATGCACTTGACTTGTAATCTGCTTGTCCTGGGTTCCAATCCTGCTATATACAAAAATGGTTTACATACGTACATTTATTAGGAAAACATAGTATTAGCAATAATTTGGTTAACATAATATATAGCTAGTTTTTGCTAAAAAATACTATAAATATCAGACTGCTATACAACAAACAATTTATTTTATCGAAGTTTAATATGGCCTAGTTACCCTTAACTTAGGATAAGCTCTGAGACCCTCAGTCAGGGTTATTGTGTCACATTTTGTGACTCACTAGCTGATGATGATGATAATGATGTCAAAGACATTGTTTATAATAACTTGTGTGGATAAATAAATTTCTAAGTTTTTTTTTTCAGGAAATATCTAGCAAGTTCTTTGCTTTTGGACCATTTGATGCATACAAGCAGTCCCAATCATTGTATATGTCACATTTTGATCTCTTCGTCTCTAAACGACTGACCAACAATCATCCTGACAGAACTTCTGACCAGGATTTACAAAGAATATTAAATGAAGCTGCTAATATGGAAGAAAGGTTAGTACATTTAGTATTGTAGTATGTTTGGATGGATGGATGTTTGTTAGAAGGTATATCCAAAATGGCTGCATTGATCTTGGTGTAATTTGGCATGGATGTAGAATATAGTCTGGACCACATAGGCTTTTAAACTAATTTGTTTGAATCCTGCACGGACGGAGTCGCGGAATTTAGGATATAAATATTTACTGTGTTTAAAATATACTAATAATTTTAGACACATATTTATAAAGATTAACAACAGTGGTAGAGCCCGCTTTAACATCTTCGCACGTATTGGCCCGGCTCGCCTGGTGAAATACCACGACCACACAGAAGACAGGCGTCAAGTGGAAGCTATTCCGCGTGCAGTCTGATGAGTGTACGTCCCTGACGCCTAATTTAGTCCTCTTTCCTTTCCTACCTTTTTTGTCTAATAAGGAAAGGATGGAAAGTGGAAGTGGCCATCCGGTTGAGAGGATGCATGGAAAGGGAAAAAGTTTTCTTTCTGTGCATCCTCTCCTCCGTCGATTAAAGGTAGGCAACGCATATCCAATTGCGTATGTCTATGGGCAACGGTCACCTCGCTATTTCAGCGATTTCAGGTGGCCGCTCGCTCGTTTGCCACCTTATGATATAAAAAGAAAGATTAGTTTAAATATTATTGATAAATGTTGTTTCTATGAAAAAAACACATACAGAATAATTAAATTATATGAATGTTTTATGGAATTTGTGCTAAAAATGATTGTGATTAAGGAAAAAATGTAAAATACGACTCGTTTGAATTTCAGACTATCAGATGCTTTATGTGCATACATTTCGAGTAAAGCTGAGTTGTGCGGGGAACAAGCCAAGCTTGCATTAGTTAATAATTACACTTTGCATCCTAATAGAGTATCGTAAGTATACAAAATAATTTATCAACTGTTTAACCAACTTGTATATATATTTACTAGCTCAATATGTTTTGGAGAAACCAAAAACTAAAAAAAAAACAATATTGTTCCCATTGTTTTGTTAACCTTTTGACGGCCGGTGATTTGAAAATCGACAAACACATTGGTAAATGGAATTCGAACCCAGGACTTGCAGACTACAAGTCAAGTGCTTAACCGCTGAGCCACCAATGCTCTATTTGGATTTTTTTTAATATTTTAGTGGCTGTCTACTAGAAGTGCAAAGTGCGTTAGAAATCTTGCAGCAAGAGGAGAATATCTTGGATCAACAGTTGCAGGAGGCAATACTAAAGTTTGTGTCATCTCGGACCAACCTTGCTGTAGAGACTGCCGCAAGGAGTGCACTTAGTATTAGAAAGTAAGTCATTTTACTTTGTGTATTTAACTTACTTACTTACTAAACAATGTTTATTGAAAAAACCGAACCCTTATAGGAGCTATTTGTATGTCACTCTGTCTGTCAAGACCCTTTTTCTCAGGAAGAGTTAGTTTGTCGGAGAGGGAAATTCCTCTTAACTAGGCAACGCAAATGTTGATAGATATCCGCATTTATCAGACGAGTCCCAGTCACTTCGCTATTTTGGCGAATTTACAAGCCCTCTTGCTCTTGTTTTTATTTCTCATAACACCGAGGAATTCTAGTGACTTACAAACGTTACTCTGTTATATTTCCAGACAAGTGCTTAGTGATTTAGAATTTCTACTGGAGAGCAGTCAGCAGGCGCTGTGTGTAGACAAGCTGGTGTACAGTGCGCTGCGAGCTGAGCTCTGCTCCGTGGAGGAACTGTTGCACTTCGCCTCACATATGAGGACGTACCTGGTCAATGATTCTGAAGCTATTTCTAGTAGAATTGTAAGTATATTATTTACTAGCTAGAGTTAAAATTAACGTAATTTAATAGCATATGTTTCTTTCGGGATGTGTACTACATCTATGACAAATTTCAGTGAGATCCATGCAGTTGCATTAGAGATACTTTATAGCAAACATCCATCCATACAATCAAACATTCACATTTATAATATTATTATAGTAAAACAGATTATCAATAAATTGTATAATATTTTATGATATGTCTGTATGTCCTCCTCTATCCATTGGAGATATGCCTCTGCTAGCTTTAATTTTATTGCAGATGTCAATGGACAGCGGTCATTTCGCTCTTTTAGCGAAGCGTCAAATAACCGCAGTCCACAGACTGGGTTAATTGATATTTGATGGTCGAGATGAAATCCAGCATGCGGTAATTTCGCTCTTTTAACGAAGCATCTAATAACCGCTGTCCGTAGACGGGGTCAGTTGAATTTCACGGTCGCTCGTTGAGCATGTGTTCATTTCGCGTTTTTAGCGAAATACCGCTTGCTCGATTATCACCTATTACTATTAAAAATGTATGTATAAATACAATTCCAGGAATCAATGAACGAGATATGTAGTCAACAATTACTTAAGCAGCAGCGGTTACAAACAAACATGTTGCAACAGACTTTATGTACAATGTTATGTACAGATAACAATGATTATGTACAATTGCTGAGAGTACATAATGATCTACGACAAAGTATACAAGCTCTCACTGAACAAGTGGCTGAAGGATTTAAGAACAAGGAAATAGCTATCGCGGCATAGTAAGTTGTTTTATATTAATTGTTTTTTTAAAAACTGGTCACTCGCGACCCAGTCCGTGTGGAATTAAAAAAAAAAGCTTAAGTAGCCTGTGTGTTCTTCCAGACTATGTTCTATATGTATGCCAAATTTCATCAAGATCTGTTTAGCCGTTCCAGAGATACCTTCTAACAAACATCCATCACTTCAAACTTTCGCATTTATAATATTAGATTTTTAACGTTTTTGTGTTTGAATTCGAGGATAAATAGTGTCTGTTTAATTAGTCTGTGGTTACACCTTTATAAAGGTTTTTTATAATTTTTAATTTCTATTGAATTCATATACATTGTGTTGTCTGAAGTTTTAAGTCTATAAAAATTGCTTTATCTTTTCAAATTACAACTGAAACCTTTTACAAATCACCAAAGGCAAGTCCAATTTGGTATAAAAACATGTTAGTGAACGTGTAAAACCGATATATTGTATTTATCCAGTTCACCGTCAACGTTACCTATCCGCGAGTATTTACACGACGGCAGCAGTCGTCAGGTGCGCAGGCGCAGCGCAGCAGGCGCGCAGCTGCTGCATCACCTCACGGACCTGATGGCAGCTGTTGATGACAAGGTGTTGGCAGCTAGCGGGAGATTCGCTGCCGTCAAGGTAAAGTGGCTTAAAACAATGCACTGTGCAATCCAGTGTGTTGACACATTTCCAGTTGCATTCCAGTGGTCTAATCACTGGACTGAAATCATGTGAATCTAGTAAATTTACTATGGAATATGATTTCTGTGATTTTTTTTTGTAAAAGTTGCCTTTTGTAAGCGTTAAAATCGTAGATAGATTCAAGATAATAAGACATATTTAATCTCCTTACTATTTTTTTTAAAATATTAGTAGATTTTTTGGTAAATTGACTAATATTTCTTTTACCATTCCAACTAAGCTCTAGGCTTGTGCTAGGATATAGTTCACGGCAATAGTCTAATGACGGGATTCGAACCCCCGACCTAACTATTTCTAACAATCCTAAAAGTTACATTGGCAGTGGTAATTTTCATTAAATAAGTCTATTTGTTACTTTTATATATTACTGAAAAGAGTTTAATTTCAGTATTGTTTATGATTTTCAGAAAGAGGACAAGTACAGTTTGCGCAAGTTCTGGCAGTGGTTCCTGGTGGACCAGGCGCGCCTGCTGGCCACGCTCAGAGCTGCTCAGCCACGTGGACACTTGCCCTGATATATCTTACTAATATTATAAATGAGAATGTTTGGATGGATGGATGTTTCTTAGAAAGTGTCTCCGGAACAGCTGCATGGATCTCGCTGAAATTTGGCATATATGTAGAAAATAGTCTATAAAAACACTTAGGCTACTTACTTCGTTTATTTAATTCCACGCGGACGGACTCGCGGGTGATAGCTAGTCTAATATATTTACTTACTAATAATACTAGCTGTTGCCCGCGACTGCTTCCAAGTTGAATTAAAAAACAATATTTAGTAGACTATGTGTTCTTCCAGACTATGTTCATTTCAGAGAGATTCATGCAGTCATTCTGGAGATACTATCTAATAAACCATCCAACTATAGGTCCTAACTTTTGCATTTATAATCTTACTAATATTATAAATGCGAATGTTTATATGAAATGGATGAATGGATAGTTTTGTCAGGTATATCCGGAACAGCTAAACATATCTATCTGAAATTTGCAACAGATGCAGAACATAGTCTGGAAGAAAAGCATAATTATAATTATGGAGATGTAAATAAAACAATAAATAATATAAAAAACATGTATTTCTTAACAATATATTGTAAATTACAAAATAAATAGGTACTAAATATGATCACAATGTTTGCAGTCAGCACCGAGCGTCCACAATACACACATTAATAAAATAAATATCATAAAGCTTAAAAAAATCATAGTTTCCTAGTCTTTTGAACAACATATCTATTCAATATTATAATTTCTTTAACGGAACAAATAATTCGTCTAATATTTTGGTCTATAATTCGTTATATTAAAAACGTAATTTGTCCAATTTAAAGACTTACATCACATCGTAGCATTGGAAGTGTTAAAACTCAATGATTATATTTTTCATAAGCATATATAAAAACGGCTTAGCACTCACGTATATACGTCTGGTGGCGCTGAGCGCTCAGTGAGCTGAGGGCCGCGTCCGCGAAATAATACCAGTACTCATCCTGATGAAGGGCCCCCGATGTGCTCGAAACTAGTCGGTTCCGCCACCGGACGAATATACGTCAGTGTTTAGTCGTTTTTATATCAGTTTATTATAATGGTTCACGAAAGTTTGAATAATTTAATATATTTTTCATCTCTACTAATACCATTTTTGCGAGTCGTTGTAGCTTAATCACTCCCACGTAGGTCGCGGCACTTTCCTGATGAGTGTGTCTTCAGGCGCGATGTGAATAGGATTGTTGAAATCCAATTCTATATTGTCCGGTATCGTGTCGTAGTAAATCACGTGTTGATCTGTTTTACCTGAAAATACAGATTAAATTAGGCTCTATTTTACTTAATATTATAAATACGAATGTATGGATGGATGTTGTTTGAAGGTACGGCTCAACAGATGTCGAGTAAATTTGACATAGATGTATAACAGTCTGGAATAACATATAGGCTACTCAATAAGTTTAAATCAGGCAGACGGTGTCGCCGGCGACAGCTAGTATGTTGAATATTAATGTCTGTTTATTGTAATTGTGTAAAAAATGAAACTTTAAAAATAAACAGTCATCGTATTTAAGTGTTAAGACAATTTACACTTTTTAAAACTAAAGTCAAACAGCAATTTTAAGGTGAGTCTATGAAAAAAGTCTCCTTTTCGAAGTCAGCTAAATATTTACCACGAACTGACATTAAAAATGAATGAAATACAAACACAAATGCCTTCATAATGCTAAGATATTTAATAAAAATCAAATTAAAAAATAACAAGTTACCTGTAAAATTCAATGAAGCTATAATATCTTGTAGATGTAACTGATCCAGGTTAGCTTTGACAGTCAGTCTGTTGCGATGCAGCGCACGTCTATGCCGGGAAGTCTGTCCTCGAGGCAGCAGTGGTAATGTGAACACTGACTCCGATAGTGGTGTGTCGTCAGCACCGAACTCCTGTAGTTACCATAACGTGATACGTATTATATGGTAACTATCTCAAATGTGATTGCAATAGTTACTAATGATAACTATATAATACGTTGATTATAGTTACCATATACCCCGTTGTAAGAGCGACGGTGGCTCAGAGGTTAAACATTTGACTTGTAATCTGCAGCTCCTGGGTTGAAATCCCGCCTTGTACCAATGTGATTTTTGATTTACAGATTATGTAGATATATTCTATGTTCTTACAGTGAAGAAAAACATCGTGATGTTCCACATATCTGAGAAGAAACTCAAAGATATGTGTGAAGTCAACCCTCATTGGGAAAGCATTGACTATGTCCTAGTCACTCCTGACTTAGGGTAGGCTCTGAGCCCCTCAGTGGGAAAGTATAGTGAGCTGATAATGATGAGTAACTACTGTTCTTTTGTTACCGTTGCGGTTAAATTATCTATTATGTACTATTATAAAAGAAAGTCAGTAACAATTTACCAGGCATTTCCCGCTGACGCAGTAGGATGAGTTACGTTTCCCGCAGGATGTGCCGAGTGGGAACCAGCCCTCCTGACCGTTCACCAGGTAAAACCGGTGTGCTACCCGCTCATCCTGGCACGCCACGCGACATGGACGGTCAGGATCCTCTGCCAAATAAAAAAAAATAATTTCGACTGTTTCTACGGTCTTTCCCAATGGGAAGGGATTAGGATTAGATTAGGGAAATATTCTCTTCGTGTCCCCGTCCTCCGTCGATTAAAGGCAGGCGTTGCCTATTATCTGCAATTGCGGATGTCTGAGCAACGTTCGCTTCGCTATTTCAGCAAATCCAGTCGATCGCTTGCTGATCGTGCAATCGGTTTAAAAATAATGTCTTGTGCTCATATAAATTGGTAATGACAGATTTTATTTACTAAGTATTTGTTACCTAATACAGGTGATATCTGCATGCCCAACCCTGACAGTCTTCTCACTCTCTCCTTGTACTTAGAACACACCATGGTCGCGTACTGGTAAGGTGACTTTCTTTGCAAACAACCCTGAAAAAAGTATCGTTCCTTGTATATCAAAATATTACTTCTATTGTATGGCGAAATAAAAATCTTTTTTATATTTTTCCGATATAATATTTTTTATGTCGTCATGGAGAGTAAAGAATAATATGATGCATATGGAAAATGTTTATTTGATGACCATGGATAATGAGGGCCAAGAGAGCGAAAGAAATGTTTACAATTTAAATAACGTCTGGAATTGTTACGTCATACTTATTATTTAACTGTGACTAATTTTTCCACCGAAAGTACTGACTAGTTCTGGTCGTGCAGCATCAGGTCTGCACAGCTGTATGGTGGTGTGTCGCTGCGAGCTGACGAGTCTCACGCCGCTGCCCGGACTCACGCAGTGGTAGTGACAGCCGCTCGCAGCGCGCCACTGAGACCCCACTGCCCGCCGCCATGTACCTGATGTCTTCGTCCTAGTACACATTGCGTCAAATTATGGTCCTTCCTGATCCACTATTAAGAAGAATCCTGCGGCTTTTGTAACGAGGATAATAATATAATAATGGTGGAGATGATGACTTGCTTGTTTAGCCATGTTTCTTCAAAAACAATTCGCACCAACAGAGTACAGAAGGCAATCATAATCTGGTTGTAAATCTGTCCCAATATCCCTGGTCTATGTAACACTTACGAGGAGACGGTGTGCGGAGTAGCAGTTTGTAGTTGCAGCGCTTCCCACTCACAGTCGCCTGGTTTTAGCGAGAACTCGTTGTCGTTGCTCGAATCGCATGTGAATTTCTGATGAAAACACATAAATTAAGATCATCTCAGAATGTCATGGAATGTTTATTCGATCGAAAATATTTATGCATCGTAAGTGGTCTATATCAGTCACTGGGCCGGCATGGTTGACTGTGTCCTAGTATAACTTTGTAATGCTGGGGGACTCTATGAGGTCATGATGTAGTGTAGAGTGGTCTTTACATGTATAGTAGATCTGATAACCGGCACTATCTCTTGGTTATACCTGACAGAGTCCAGAGATGCAGAACATGGGCTGAGCGCGAGAACAAGCGGTGCCATCAGGCAGACTCCAGCCGCGTGACTTGTAACCGCCGCCGCGAGTGTCGCACCAAACTGCGCATGCGCTGCTTACGTCTAGACAACATGCAACATTTAATAATGTCGACTCGTCCGACGAGTTCAATTTCATACGAAATTACTTTTAAAAGTTTTTTTGAAGCTGGAACCTCCAAAAGACCAGAGTCTTTTCTTGGCAAATAAGCTTGAGTTCAGTTTTGTAGTGGTTACAACGTTTTTAAAGGAATATGGACTTTGCATTGATGGTGATAAGTACCCTCTGAGTCGATCCTCTGCAGTCCAGTTCCAATGAGATCAGGGTCGACATCCCGCGCGCGCAGGCAGATCTGATCTGCGAACTCACGCACCGTCATACGCGGCACTTTGTTGCACTGCAACAATGTTGTGTTTTGTGTAAAGATGGGAACAAAAGAGGAATACGTGATAAATTTCAATATAATCGAAGGAACAGAGACTTGCAGACTTTTTGCCATTTTCTAAAAGGCATAGAAAAAAGGCCGATAATTTTATACACTTGTGATCTCTCATAATTTACGTTTTTATAGGATATCGGACTTACTTGTTGAGCATGACAGGATTGATACTTCTTATCGTGACCCGTGCAGTAGTTATTTCCGTTTTCATGCCTGAAATTAAAATATCCAAAACTTATGGTTTTGAAAACTCTAGAAGTGCTAAATTATTTACCACAATATAGACCTTTGCATTCGAAAGATGATCATGAAGGGTTTACTGGACTATAATTTTTTTTTTCCTCTAGAAAAAAGTTTTTATTATCCCTCGGCCACAAAGGCTCTTCATCTAATAAGACCATTGATCACGTAATTTAAATGACGTGACTCACCTAGGCCGGTTACACCTGCGTGTGGCAACAGCAACTCCGGCTGCAGCGGGAGCGTGCTTGTCATCCAGTAGACAGGCGGAGGCGCACTCCGACCAGTGCGACCAGCGGCCCCACGCGCCGCGACCAGTTCGCACAGTCCCCTCGCGCTCCACACATGCACCGCCGCGACAGTACTACATAAGGATACAAGTTTAGTTGGATGCGGCTGATTGGGCCAGAGAGACAGCTGCCAGCAAACAACGGTATATTTATCTCGCTTCTTCAATGATAATTGCACATTTGGCGATCAATCGTCAATCAGGAAAAGGAAAAGGGATTTGAAAAGGAGATGATACTTACGCTCACGTCTTCAACCTACTAGAGAATGTAAACGATGTTAGAAGCAGCTCAAGTGGTATTTAAATGTTCAAAGTTACTCACCATATCATCCCCACATCTGGTGCCTTCGAGTGCGGGATGTGAAGTCCAGGTGTACCGCTCGCGCTGGCAGTGCAGGTCCCGGCAGATGTCCTCCAGGTTTTGAGCTGCGGAGTGACGACTCCCGCTGCCGTACTTGAGCATACCTGACAAGATACGTGCTTTGATTAATCGCTGTTTTTCAAAGAGAATGATTGCATAAAATAGCCGACATCATAGTTAATACTACTAACATTGTTGATCAGCGTCGAATCTCTCTCCTGGTAGGATCCCTTCAGCACTGTGATCCAACTGGCCGGCAGAGTTTCCATGGTCAAGTAGACAACGAGATTGTACTGTACTGTACCAAAAAAACAATTACTTTAATATTTTATCATGAAAATGCGTAATTGAAAAGCATATATTCGACGAAGTTATTTACTCTAGAAATTTCTGTAGATAATTTCTGCTGCATTGTGACCAGGTGATCTTGCCGCTGCCGAGAGTCGGGCTCATGATGTAAGCACTAGGGTCGCAGCCGTTGTCAGCTAGAGGGCCGTCGTGACGCATTCCTAAACTGATAACGAAGCAAATAAGTGCATTTCTAACACAAAAAATAATGTAGAGTAACAATTTTTTTATATCCATACGAGGAACTTAAACATCAATCATACTAATATTATAAATGCGAATGTTTAGATGGATGGATGGAGGTTTGCTAAAAGGTATCTCCAGAACGGCTCTACAGATCTTGACGAAATATGGCATAGATATCGAACATAGTTTGGAAGAACAGATAGGCTACTTATTAAGTTTTTTTAATCCTGCGCGGGCTAAGTCACAGGCAAAGTCTAGTGAACAATAAACACCACTTAAGAATCAAAACTCACTTGTGTCCTATTTCGTGAGCTACAACATAAACACTTTCGAAGTGCCTGCCTTCATTTACTGTACAACTGCTGGTGACTGTACACATACCAGCAACTGGGGCTAATCCTGAAAAATACGGGAACTGTAAAAGTCGACTATACATATTCCAGGAGGATGTGTATGGTACTAATGTGTTCTTCCTTTTACATATGTACATTTATTTGAATTTCTTATGGTAAAGGAAAACATAGTGATGCTACATATATCTGCGAAGTAATTCAAAGATATGTCTAAAGTCAACCTGTGTTGAGCCAGCATTGACTATGGCCTAGTAGTCACTGCCTTAGGGTTGGCTCCGAGCCCGTCAGTGGGACGTATTGTGAGCTGATGATGATGTTTATATGGTCGATATTATCTCTAGCAATATGCTTAGATCCAAAATTTGCTATTACTTCGCAGTTCTCATATTACCTAAATAACGAATATCTTACCTACAACTTGACTGCTGACTTTTCCATTCTTATTGACCACGTACAAATCCAAACCAGTCAAAATTAAAGCATGATCCCAATGCAACGGGTCATTATCACCTGGTGGATTCTCCAGTCTCTGCCATGTACAGAAATTACTTAAAAACCTATCGATATCATGTGGTCTCTTCAAATTGACAGGATCTTCATGTAAGATTTCTAATCTTTTCAATATAAAATTAACTGTTCTACCCAATGATGGGTCGTGGTAAATTAATTGTACAGCATTTATCATAGCTAAGACGAATCTTACTAATTCCCTTTCTGTGTCTTTAGGAAAATTGACTGTCATATGTTTGTATAAATCTCTATCCACGAACACAGCTGTTTCAACAAAAATAGGAGGTATTATAGCTCTCTTTTCTCTATTAGTTGGTTGTAAATTTTCTATAAATTTATTTATAGTTTTATTTCTATTACCTAAATTAATTTTGAATTGTTCAAGTGTTACTTTCTTATTATTAACTTCTCTTTTTCTTCTATGCTTTGTCCATGTTTTTGCAGATTCAACTGTATTACTTATATTATCTCTTTCTATACATTTATTTATGTTACTATCGTTGTTTAAAGATCCATCTTCAATATGTCTTTTGACTATTACGTGTGGTTTCGTTTCTTCATTATGAAACCTTTCAGGCAATGGATGGATATAATAATAACTTCCATTTGCTTTAAATAAGCCTCTCTGAAAGTTTTTAAATTAAATTATTGTGACTAACTATATTTAAATCTATCTTTTGTTATGTGAATAAGGTGAATGTCCTTCTTAGTTAGTTAAAAACAACAATGTCCAATATTAACATAATCATAAGACATAAAAATATGAATAAATATTTAACAATAGAATCTAACGACTTACGGAAACATTTTAATAAATTTGATTTATAGACGTAATTAAATTTTAATTTATAAATTAAACTCAAAAAGGTAATTCGCCTTTTAAAAAGGATTTTATTCTGCATAGTCTTGAATAGACGATAATGGATATACGCGCAATATAACAACTAGAAGTGAAACTTACCAAATCACCACAAGCATATAACGCTGCAGTGTCACTTCTGTAATAACATAAATCTAATTCTTCATTATTATGTTGGTCCAAAACAGCTTCAGTACCATTCGTCCATCGTCTCATGAGTAGGAACTGTGGATCTAGGAAAGTGTTTCTAGGACTTAGCTTTAAATCTAAATGCCTCTTGAGCGAGTTCAGATCTGGATTGTCGTGATACAATGACCGTTTACGACGCTTTGGTTGTCGTAGATGCAATATCTCGAATTGTGCATCTGAAAGTTGAAGAAAATAGTTAGCGTTACCATTCGTCGTGACAAGATTGTTGTTTATTTTACTGGTATACTACGAATACAATTTTAAACTTGATTCCCGTAAAATGTCTTGTAATCAACAATATCGGATATTCTGAATCATCGGAAAGTAAAATGTAAAATGAATTCTAGACATCTATGGAGAACAGAGTTATGAAGGGTTATTTATACATAATCCGAAATCGTACGAACAACGTTTGTGTCGCTCTACGGGGCTAGGCATTCGCTTTGAAGCGATTTCGAACGAACTTCAAAAATATATGGAACTGACGGACGACAATCACGCGGCTTATCGAGAGTTATTGTCAGTTAATAGATTTTTTAAGTTCTTTATGAAATTGCTTCGGAGCAAATGCATTTTGTCTGAACCCACTGAATAATCGTACGAACAACGCGATTACCGATCGTTGGTCGTACGATTCCGGATTGTGTCTAAACACACCTGAAGTATACTTACTGTCATAATTAGCACCAATTAGAAACAGCCTCTCAGACTCTGTCAGATGATCCAGTAACTGTTTACTGTGTTCCTGAAACAAATTAAATATTTAATTAGCAAAGTCCACAGGTTTGAATTTATTCCGATTACCAAGGGACCTTTAGGACTATGATGGAATTATTATTGTAAAGTACAAAATTTATTTTTCGTCGATACTCTTAATATCTTCAACCGTGATATATATTACCTAAATATCTTCCTAGCTAGGTATTACGTTAGTGCATACGCTACGTACTATTTAAGGTCTGTGGCGTGATTGGACACACCTCTTGCCGTTCCATCAACCTTGAAATATTGACAAAGAATGTTGATAACTTAATAGAAAGTTATAAGTATTGTATTCCTTTCTTTATCGAATCTAATATATCTGTAAATTTAACGTATAAGACCTGCGAAGCTTTAACAAATAATATATTGAGAAAAAATTACTAATAAATTTCAAAGTTTAGATGAATGGATGTTAGAACATATCTCTGGAACAGCTCAACGGATCTTGATGAACACATAAGCTACTTTTTAATACCTATAAAGTTTTTTTTAATTCGGTGTGGACGGAATTGCGGGCAACAGCTAGTATTACATAATGCACTAAAATGAGGTAACACCTAACTTAAAGATTTCATAGCTATAAAATTAACTAGCCTTGTTAAATTGTTTTTTTATTAAAATATAAAAAATCTTCCGGGATTAAAATAACTACGTAAACTTTACCAGTATTCAAATATGATTGTATTAAAAGATATAATCATAAGGAAGCAACAAAATTCCATACGACATTGTAATTACAGAAGCAAAGGAGAATTCACCTCAAACAGCAGTTGTACTCAGTAGCTATTGTGATTAGTTTAGCTGAATAACCTCGACATAATTTGACAATGGATATTCACACGAAGGTAAGAATTTGATTGAAGCTGTTGGAAATTAACGATAAACGTTGTAATGCAGGAATTAAAATACAAAATGATAGATTATCCTAGATGTTTTAACACGTTAAATGCCAATGAGTTCATAAGAAAAGTTTTTATTGGCATGCAGCGTGTAATTTCAATGCTATTACAAAACAAAAACATTAATAAATGTCAAAATGTAGAGCCTTTAATTTCATCTATATATAAAAATCAATTGCTGTACGTTAGTCTCGCTAAAACTCGATAGCGGCCGAACGGATTTATCTTATCTTAATCTTGAAATGTTCGTGGACGTCTAGGGAAGGTTTAAAAGGTGAGAAAAATTTGCATAATTGCCGGGAACAAATTAAGTTTTTTTTTCATACCATTCGGACGGAGTTGCGGGTGTCAGCTAGTTAAAAATGTATATTGTTATACTGGTTTGTCCTGAAAACTACAACTAAAGCAATAATAACTAAGTCTGGAATCTGTTATGTTCATCAACAGCACACTATAAGTCCCCACTAAGAGGTTCAGAGTCTACGCTAAGTTAGTAGTGACTAGGCCATAGTCAAGCCCAGTGCAGGTTGGTTAACTTCATACAACATAGCATAGCAACATTAAATTTCTTCACAGATATGTACAGGTTGAATCAATGTACATAAAATGTACATATGTAAATCTAAAATAGAACTCTTTGGTACATGGTTGGACTTGAACACAGAACCTGCAGATTACAATTGCTTAACCACTGAGTCAACGCTCTGCTGTGTTAGGCTGCGTTAATCCAAATTAAATTAAATATCTAATACCATAAAATGTATATAGGTAATAAGTTGTTAGCTATATAAAGTTTGTAACTAACTACTTAAATTCTAAACTCTTGAACTGTTAGTCATTAACTAAGCTTGTATGTTCTGTCGAGTCAGTCTGTGCGTTTGTTTTCATTGCATTATAAAGCAGAAATAAAACTTTCTCTAAAATTTTCTCGACTTGATGATATATAAAACGATAGAACAGAAAGCGAAAGCAATAATTGTACACAGATTGCGAGTGCATTTAATAATTGGGAAAATATTACGACCATAGGAATTAAAAGTAAAACGTAAACATCGAAAATTCAGACAGGACGTTAAATTCTTATAGCTATAGCTTTAAAAGATATCAGACAGGACTTAATAGAAAAGCAATCAATATTTGTAAAAAATAAAGTATTCCAGTTTTTAATTTCTCTCTTACTAATTATAAATGCGTTTGGATGGATGTTTGTTAGAAGGTATCTCCAGAACCGCTAAACGGATCTCCCTGAAATTCGGCATAAATATAGAACATAGTCTGGAAAAACACATATGATACTAATTTAGGTTTTTTTTAATTTCGCGCGGACAAAGTCATGGCAGTCAGGCGACAACTAGTCCATGATAAATTCTGTACCGATAGTGCTAGTTTAATTTAAATGCTTGTATATTGAGGACAATATATGACATTTTGTTTTGAATATCTTAAAGTGACAGGATACAAGTGCGACGGAACAATGCATTGCCACCCCTGGTATTCACGATTGGTGCCAGTCACTTCGCTGGAATTACTGTATAGCTCGATTGAGGTTATACGAATTTCGTCAAAGGTCATAGAGCTTCCTTGTCACGATTAGTTATTTTGTTGTTGAATGCACGTTAAATTTATTTGAATCAATTATGACGACTCTACTAATGAATATACAAACATATAAAATTTTAATAGAAATTTTATGTTATTAATTTGAATTTAAAGCTTTTTTTTTATCAATTTAGTTTCAAGTCAGTGACTTAAAGTCATGTAATATACTGAATTTTTTTTCGTTGGCAGATGAAAGAGAATTCCTTTGTCTTTAAGTTTTTCACGTATTATTTTAAATTATATTATTTATAATTAAGTATAGAAGACTGATATTCGAAAATATTACTATAATATTATTAGATGAGTAAGTTTTAGATGATGCTGGCAATACAAGAAGCATGTGGCAACACCAGCAAGTTGAAATAATTTTGGAAGATATACTCTTTGCGCCAGGGTTTTACTCTTTGGCTCAAAAACGCCATGTTTTTTTTTAAGAATATTCGTTGTTAAAAAACAATAATATAGTTTTGATGACTCTATCTGAATAATATGGTATTGTTGCTTATTGGAGACGATTCATCTGTCTTTGTTTCATGGAATATTTTAAATTAATTAACGAATCGTAACGTATATCTTACATTAATGAACGTTTAAACCGAAGGATGTTTATGATGCTTAACGATTTTAAATTGTTTATCTAATTTGAGTTTTAATCGATTGTGTTAAGGTATAATTTTATACATTAACAATTTTTGATAGTAAAGACAATGGTGTTGAAACAACCGTTCAAATCTTTATCGAAATATGTTAGGATTTCCGGAACGCGAAAAATATGATGTTACATTGAAGTTAATAATTTTTTAATATGACACATGCTGCTTTGCATGCTTTTAACAGTGGTAGAGCTAGCTTTAACATCTTCGCACGAATTGGCCCGGCTCGCCCGGTGAAATACCATGACCACATAGAAGACAGACGTGAAGTGAAAGCAATTCGAGGCCTAATTTAGTCCTCTTTCCCTTCCCACCCTTTTTCTTATAAGGAAAGTATGGGAAGTGAAAGTGGACTTTCCGGATGAGAGGATGCATGGAAAGGGAAAACATTTTCTTTCTGTGCATCCTCTCCTCCGTCGATTGAAGGTGGGCGACGCATATGCAATTGCGTATGTCTATGGGCAGCGGTCGCTTTGCTCTTTCAGCGATTTCAGGTGGCCGCTCGCTCGTTTGCCACCTTATGACATAAAAAAAATGCTGTCTCCTTTGTGATTGTGAAGTGATTTGAATATGAAGTGTAGTAAACTTATAATTTAAGACCAAGTGTTTAAATCTTTAGCTTTTATACTGTTGATTATAATAGTATAAAATTAAATGTGGTCGGCTACAAAGGTAGAACACTGAAAAAAGTATGGATTGTGTGAAAGAGGATATGCGTAAGAAGGGTATTCAGATATGACGGATAGAGATGTATGAAGAAGTACATTTGTCGAACGTCTGTAGGCACAAGGGCAGGTTGATGTTGATTATAACTAGCTTTATATTATCTTTGTTAACAATAATGTCTACTCCATACATTCTGACACGCACATAAACATAATCCCGTGTTTAACGACCGTTAAATCTAGCTAACCATTAACCCTACAACATTATTTGCCGTATGCAACGATTTTGAGATAAACTTAAGATAAAGTTTTTTTATACAATTACAGGACAGGGTCAAAATACATCTACAAATGAGAATTGCGTGTTGGTAATAACATTTTTAATCGACAATTTAATGAAAAATTTAATGATTTGTTTGCGAGGCATTAAAAAACCCTGTAGCCTATGCGTTCTTCTTGATTGTTCTAAATCTGTGCTTAATTTCATCGAGATCTGTTCAGTCGTTATAGAGATAGATAATTATTAAGAAACATCCATCCATACAAACTCTTACATCTATATATATGAAAGAAAGTCGTGTTAGTTACACTATTTATAACTCAAGAACGGTTTTACTGATATGGTAGAAAATTGGTGAGGAGGTAGCTTAGAGCCAGGAGACGGACATAGGATACTATTTTTTTATTTTTAGTTTTTTTTATATATCCACGCCGACGGAGTCACGGGCGACAGCTAGTTTATAATATTAGTATCATTTGCATAACCTTGTAAAGTAAATTATGCTATAGATATGCTATTTGATTTTTTTGTAATTATTATTTTACAAGTGTTTCGATCCACAACAAGACATAACTACAAATTTTCTATATAGTAAATTAGTTCCGATATAATAAAACAAGTTAAGCCATTGCATAGCAATAATCGTAGTTAAAAATGTTATTGGCATAAACGTAAAAAACACAGATAAAAAATTGATCGAACAGATAAATTCTATCTTTGTCGTAAGTTCCCAATTTAAAAAATGTAGGTCAATTAACTTTAACTGCTTCATAACAAACGTATTTATCTAAACTTAACATCATACTTTCCAAGCTAAGCAAGAGTTATACAACAGTTATGAAATAAAGGGAAGTTTGTAATTGCTCTATTTGTTAACATTAATCGGC